CATTTTCGGCAAGGCTCCCACATTACGGCAAAAGAAATCGACCATTTTCGGAGGGCTCCTAAATCCTATTCAGCGCCAAATGGGCCCAATGCTCGGCAAGCTTTTCTTTTTAGAACCCAAAACCCTGTCAAACAAGGTGCCTTTCAAACTGGGCCTTCCCAGTACTTCGAATCGAAATCCACGTCAACGCCATTTTCCGATCTCTTCTTACGCATTAAACTTCTGTTTTGGAGTCTCTGAACGAAGCACTGAGAAGAGTCAACTTGTCTTCAGTTACAAGTCTTCCTTCAAGTTCCTTCAAGCTTCTCTTCAAGAAGTTACCTTTTCAAGCTTTCTGAGTGTCCGATCCCTCTCAAGCTTCGCAAGAGAGGGTTTCCGCTTTCTCGGGTGGAGATTGCGAGGGTTCTGCGCTGAGAAGTGGCCTCTTCTATCGCGTCTGCTTCGGTTTGATCCAGTTGAAAACGTTTGTTCTTATGAACTGTTATTGCGTGCGACGTTTTGCTGTTCAATTTATTGCTGGCTTTTAAAACTCCGAAAAGGTGTTTTACCTTGTTTCTTTGCCAAAAACTCGAATTTTTAAATCTCGCAAAGATTTGGTCTGGCTTCCTTCTGAAGAAGATTCCCACTCTGAGCGGACGGTTTTTGAAGTGCGCGTCAGCTCATCCAGCGTCCGGCAAGCAATTTCAATGTAAAACTTGAAAAATGCTCATACCAGCTTTTCGCGGAAAAAAACTGCAAAAAAAGCACTCAAAGAAAAAATCGACCGTCCAGTTCGCTGTCTGTTTGCTGATTGTTGCTCGCCAAAATTGTTTTGCCAATTGTTTGCCATCCCTAAAGTTTGAACACCCTATGGGATGGAAATGCCAGGTTTTCGATGTCCTGTGATGGTTTTGAGGTGAGTTGAAAAGCTCTGAAGAACAGAGCAGGAAAACTACTGACGCGCAGCTTGTTTTAGTGAATTGAAGTACTTGAGAGACTGTACTGCCGGAAGACGTGGAAGCTGGTCCGCCCTGGCAGCAGGGTGGTGGTAAGGTCTGTTGCCCTAACATGGAAGTTGGTCGAATACCAGTGATGTCACGCCGTCCCTGCATCTGCGGCTGGCATCCGACCCTAGCTAAAGTAAAGTGATTTCTCGTTTTGGGAAAGTTTGCAAAAGTTTCCACGCCAGTACTGAAGCTTGTCAAGAGAGTTGGAACACGGTTTTTCAAAGTTTGCACTTCCATTCTGCAGCTCTGACAGCGGTTTACGCAGCTTTTTCTTCTCTCGCCACACCATGGCCAGGTCTGTGCCAGCGCAGAGCACGTAGACACACTCGTGAACTGGATCGAGACGCAGAATCAATGTCTGCAAAAGTTCGCATTGCTGTTGTCGCAGGGACTTCCTCCAGCCATTTTGACCTCCCTGGAGACGAAGCTTCGCTTGGCACTCGGATTCTGGTGTTTCCGCCTGCTCCAAAAAATCTTCTCAGGTCCGACATTTCGCGCTGCGCTTTCGAAGAAGAAGTGCTGTCTGTGTGGAAAGGCCATTCTTCGTGCATTAGCTGTTTTGAAGATTGGGATTTCTGTGTTCAGATGGATGTTGCTGCTCACGGTGCGACCAAAAAAAGTTTGATTCGCTCCACACTAAAACGTGGATGACCAAAACGCTGGCGCCTCGGCTCGCTGTTGTTGCCTTCATTTGATGCCTTGGTTTGCTTCGAAGGACTGGTGGCCCGCTTACGCGGGGCTATGTGATCTACAATTCGCATCGTTCCAAGCTCTCCAAGTATGTGCCGCTGGCTTGGTTGTTCGTGTTGGGCAGACAGCCGTGTGCTCATCAATTCTTTGTTGTAGCACCTTTTTTGGAAGGTGCACGCTTCCGGTTCAGGGACCAGAGCTGATCTGGGCGTGTTGGCCCTGGACAAAAGTGGGCCACGGAGTTTCGCAGGCAGGTGCCTGAGAGTGATGGTAGCAGAGGCCATAAGCAGACGAGGTTCGATTCTTCGTTTAGAGTGTTCGGATTCGAGGGTTCAGGGTTTGTTTCGGGCGCAGGTCCTTACCGGACTTCAAAAGCTAGGCATTAAGAATTGGAACATGCTCTTTTGACGTGGGGTCGGCAATTGCAAAGTTAAGGGACTAGAAGGGCATATGTTAAAAAATGAAGGGCCTAGAACTTCAATTGTGCTTTTGGTTTGTTCTGTTTGTGCTGGCTGAACTTTCCGTCAGACAAACCTGCAAATGGCATGCCAAGACCCATCCAGAGCACGGGGACCAGTATGTGCGCAAGTTGCTGAAAATCTCCATCCGTCAACAGCTTTCCTTCTGTGCTGACGGCCTTCTTTGATGCAATGCCGGCTGCTTCTTCTTCGCAAGATTTGCCTGCTCACGCCGACTTTGCAACTGAGTGGATGCGTCCGTGTTGATCTGGTGTGCGCACGCGTGAACTGCGCCGGTGTGTAGGCTGACTGTACTTGTGTTTAGTGCGCAGCAAGCGCGAAGAGAATGCGGCCGGCGCGGTTTTGCTGTACAAGGCTCACAGCAACGCCGGGTTTGACCTTGCTTGCCTGCTGAGAGCAACGTTGCTGGAGAATTGCCACATGTATTACCTGGCATGCGGTCAATGCAAGAACCTGGCACACTCTTTATCTGGTGTTTGGCTGCACTTTAGTTGGTGCAGGTCCGCGCAGTAGGCAACGCATATTCTGTGGATATCATAAGACCAAGGTGTGTGCCATTGTACCATTGACCTGTCCTCACATTTGCGCGGGTGTTGACTACTTGCCGCCTGTGCCACCCACGTGCGTCCTATTCGCATCTCCAGGCTTGCGTGGGCTTGTAGCGCCTGCACAGATTTCTACGCAGATTCGTTCAGTGTCTGCGTGCGGATACTGCTATCTGTTGGGTGCGGCGTAGGCACGCAGCGAAGCCAAAGCGATTTGCTTGTCTCACCTCGTGTGCTCAAGTAAACCAAGGATTCAATTTCACATTTTATCGTTAGATTCGATTTCCTGAGATTTTCTAGTGCACCCGGAGGTGAAGGTGATGCTTCTCAGATACGGCTGAGACTAGAGAGTGTTCCTGTTCCTCCTGTCACCCGCCTCCGTCTCAACGACCGAGCAAGTGCCAGGAAGAAAGCGACAAGAAGAGTGCGAAGTTGTGATAAGGATTCATGTACATTAGTACATATTCGAACGAGTTCCCCCTGTGATACATGTACCATTTTCTAAAATCTGATCTTTTCATTTGATGAGCTTTGGTGCCGCCCGACAGACGACACCTTATGCGCCTTCTTAGATTTTGGTGTGGATGATGACCGAGAAACAGGTGGGGGACCGTCCATTGTGCAACGGCAGTGGTAGGCGGCCGGTTGACTAGTCCTAGCTTCCACCTCATGGCTGCGTAGTTTGTGGCGGCGTCCACCTGCTACTTCTTCAGCTTTCATGTTTGCAAGGCAAAGCGGTTTTTGAAGTTAGATCCGTCCAGTTTGGGCCCAAATTGACAGTTCCATTTTCGTTTGGCTACCTTGAGCCGCAATGAAAACCAACATGGTTTCGCAGCAATGGTAGTGGGGAAGTCATCATTGTTGGATAATTTTGCCGAAACAGAACCTCAAGTGTGTCGGTATACATGGCCATGTAGATGTTGGAACCAACCTTGTGTCAATGAGTGCATGACATGGTTAATGCGCAATGTCGACGGACATCAAAGTCAGTGAGAACCTTAACACCACCTTGCAATTGCAGACGTGTTGGCAAGCGCAGTCAGGCGCTTCGACTGGTGATGCTGGTGGCTGTAGCAGCCAGGATTCCCGCAAGAGATATTGCCAAAGATATTTAGCCAAGAGTTTCCCTTGACATGAACGTTGGTTTAAAGTGGTTCAACTTGAGGACGTGCAGTGCCGCAAGTTGACGGAAGCGGCTTGCATGTGTTTTTTTTTTGCGGTGCCCCAAGAGTTGCTGGCAGTGTAGACAAGATCTCAGGTCTGCATGAGGCAAGCAGCGCGCTTGGAGCAGATGCACGACGATCTAGACAAGGCAAACCTCAGTGTGAGGATGCAGAATGCAGAGTGATGCTTTGTTGTGGTCAGTTTGTCATAGTTCGACTTTCAGAAGTCGCGTTGCATGTTGGAGCTGGTTGGCAATTCTTTGACGAATATAGGAGATGTTCACAGTGAGCTTTGGCGCTTGTCAGGCGAAGCAGAGTGAACAAGACGCTCGCAAGGCAAACAATGTGATTCTTCTTAAAGCCGCCTACTGGCACCGCGGCTTCGTTCCCCATTTGATATCAGGAGCTCGAAAGATCACGTCAAACTTTGGAGTGGGAGCCTTTTTGCCGTTGGTGCATTTTCCGCTAGAATGCTCGCATTTATGGCTCCTGTTGAGGCAAGAGCGTGCGGAGTTCGGAGACAAAGTGGAGCAAATGGCTGCGTTCCAGGCTGCCATACTGTTGAATATTCGAGCTGGGCTGGGTCATGACAGGTGTCGTAGTTGTTTTCCGCTACTCGCCTTTCAGTTGGAACCACACAGCTTGGAAGCTTGAAAGCAGAAGTGCAGAAATTGTGTTAAGACATTAGTTGGACAAGTGCCGCACAGGCCGCGTTGCAAAGAGAAAATGATCTTTTGTTGGAGGCGTGGCAGTACTTTTTGCTCGGTGGAGTCACGTCGTTGAGCAATCTCGAGCATGATGCACACATGCATGAGCTGCCCAGCGACAGCTGCAGCGTCGTGTATCAGGAGCTCATCTCCGTCTTGGGTCGGACAAAGGCCGCTCAGCATTCAAATGACGAGGCTGACAATTCCACTGACATGGTTATACCGAAGATTATATTATTCACGGCGCATGAGCGCATGCAGCAGCCTTGGTTGTACTGAGGCATTGAGAGCAGAGATGGCCCCTTCGCGGCACTGGGGTTCTTTTGCCATGCTTTCGTGTTTCCGGTCCAAGGTGTGGCTGCAGCGCTTCCTTCCTGCAGCTGACCGTATCTTGACAAGTCACACACGCAAACGATTTCCCCCGACAATGATGGAATATTAATGAGAAACCATGACACGCAGCATGTTCGCAAAAGCTGAACAGAATCCAGAGATCCCAACATGCTTCAGCCACACACTCAGCCTCATCCCAGGCTCCACTTTGACCAGCAAGCCATTGCAGAATGGGACGTGGCAAGGAATCCTCGCTTGCATGGCTTGAACTGAGCCTTGTGAGTCTTGGGCTCCAGGAAGCGGGCCGGCTGCAGGTTTTTCTTCGCCTTCCCCACAGGCTGCATGGTTGTAATTCCAAGCCCTTTCCTCAGTCGGAGTGTGTGACGAGGTCGTGCCGCCTGCTACCTTCGCAGGTGTGTGGAGGTCGCTGGATTGAAGTTAGTCTTATTTTTTCTTGCTGTTGCTGTGGTGGCAATGGGAAGCTACGCAGTCGTTCAGACTGAGCTGTTGCGACTTGCTTGTTTGATTGCGAGCCTTGTGCAAGGCAGGGAAGTTTCTCTCCAGATCCATCTGTTCCAGTACGCCGTGCATCGGAAGCGACTTGGCTGCAATCCTTCTCTCGTTGTACAAGTTGAGTCGGACCTACCTCAAACTGGGGGGCACTGTGCAATTGGCAGACTTTGCCTCTGCGTCTCCCCAGCGGATGTGAATGCCAATGACTGTACGCTACAGCCAGCTTTATCCAGGTCAACGAGCGGAGTCCACCTGAAGCAGCAGCACTTTCTGCTTGCCGCTTGGAGAAAAAACACGAGAATCATGTAAAGTGAAGTGGGTCCTGTTGCTTACGAGGCAGGCCTGCCCTGGCCCACCAGCAGCGAAGCCCTGTCTTCGTGTGAAAAAAGGGTGCATCGCACCCATCGTACATCGTCAGACTATCGGTCATGCCATCTCTTGCAGTTTTGTGATCGTCCCTGTCCGTTCAATTGATCCTGCTGATTCGGCTCCGAAGGGATGCAAATAGCGCCTTGGGCAATGGCTGACAAGGTGGCACTTCAGCGGCTTAAAGGCTGCATGGATCGGACATGAAGGCCGATGGGAAGAAGTGTGGGGTTCTCCAACCGATCCGAGCTGCCGCCCGGAGGCTTGCAGAGACTGACGAGCCGATGCGTTCCAACCCGAGTCTTGCAGTGCACAGTGCCAGCTGATAAGAGAGTGAGTCCCTCAGGAACGGAAGCTGGGCTCCTGCCTGAGCGCTTTCTCTCTCGAGCAGACACTGTACACAGGTAAAGATCTCGAGATCGGTCAGGTTTTTGCCGAAGACCGGCACCAGCGCTTGGGTTCCTCGGCTGGTTCCTCGGGTGCCAGAGTCTCCGCCGAAGGCCCTCAACTCAGATCTCCTTTGCATCTTGTGGGAGACTTCTTGTCTCGGTTCTCTTCAAAGCCCCCTGTGCTGGAAGATCATCCAGGCGGCCCCTCGTCGGCGCTTGAGGCATCATTCGGAGACGCCCGCTGAGGCTCCCCGCGTTCATGCCTCATGTGCTTGGGTCTACCGTGGACCTTGTGCCAGGATCTGTCCGTGGTTGCCTTGCCAATATGGTTAGGCAGAGGCCTCGGAGTGCACGGTTCTCCCCCCCCCCACTGTGTCGGCAGCACATCCTCCCATTGCAACTGCGACTGAAACTTGGGACCTAGGCAGTTCAAGCCAGGAGATCGTTCTGCTCAAAGACATAAAGAGCATAGTACCTCGGCAGCACGGTAACTGCGTGTTTATCGAAGCCTTTGAATTCATTCATGGTCTTTCTGCTCCAACGATTGCAAGCATCAGTCATGCTTCGTCATGCTTCGAGTTTGCTGGCTTGAGGTGCCGGAAGACCTTCATCAACACGCCTTCAGCTTGGCATGACGCTTGACTCGGCAGTCGGCAACATGAGCATGTGTCTCTCCGAGGATGATGTTATTGCGATAGAGGAGGCAGAATCAGATGCGTCGCGTGGAGCTCGAACTGCGCTTGCACTGGGCTTGCAGCAGCTCCATCTCAACCTAGAAGTATGCAGCCGTCATGCTGCCATGCCAAGGTTCTGTGCCACTTACCGGCGATTTGTTGATGCTGCAGAGCATCTGGAACAGGTCTGGTGCTCAAAGAGATAGAATATCGCAGGATTTCCGCAGTAAGAATACTCCGAGTGTGAGGCTTCCACGCATGTTGTGCCATCGCCGTGGTTTACTGCATTTTAGGGATGGTTTATTGTCTTTTGTTCACCTTGGTCTCGAGCAGCACACAAGCCTGGCCGGCATATCTGAAAGCGTGCTCCGTTCCTTTCTGATGAGACCACATGGTCGAACATGACAAATTACTCGCTGTCTTTCAAGGCGATCTGTGTTCGACAGCAGCTTCTGGGAGACGACCACGAAGAACTCTTGGTCTCGATTGAAAAGTACGTCCCGGCGCTCAGGAAGCTTGCCCGGCTGCTTGCATCTGCCCACTAGACCTCAGCATGGAAGCTCGACCGTCATTGACGGCGCAGCTACGCTCCTGTATCGCTTCCTTCCTGTATCGCTTCCTGCTCCACATCTCCGCATGCTGCTTGGTGCCGCGGCAAGAGGCTCTGGGTTGAGCGGTAGGTGCAGCAGAGAAGTGTTTGCCTTCGTCAAGAGTCGCTATGGGCAGCACAGCATACCGAAGGGAGCTGTCCTGAGCACGCTTTGCCTCAGTTCGTGTTGTGAATTTTTATGTTGCGCAGCTGCGTTTCGGCCTGAACCAGGATGGAGTTCCATTGATGAGGAAGAACCTGCACCTTGCCACCGAGCCCGAAGAAGCGCGACAAGCTGCTTTGCGACTTCGAGCACTTGGTCTTGAGCCTCCGCGCGCACATCTTTTCAAAAAGCTGGCGCAGAAAGCGGAGTCCGCGCAGAGCCACTCTCGAAAAGAGCAGGCCGGGGGCCCGAACGGGCCCTGCAGAAAGCGTTGACGTGTTGATGTTGTGGGGATGTGTCCCACCGCCGATCTCCTGCATACCAGTGCTGCGTCAGGATATTGCAAGTTCGCCGATGTTCCTGAGCTCCCAGCTCAGAGAGTTATGTTAGCGTTCTCCTTCGTCTTGTGGCTTTCGTCATGTTGAGGCCCTCGCATGTACCAGGAGGCGGAAGCAGTAAAGCGAGAGATGTTATTGACCAAGGTCGATGAGTGTTTGATCTTCGAGTCGAGGCAGCTTTGAACAACTTGAACGAAGAACTTGTCTTGTGAAATCCAATTTAACACGGGCCTTGCTTCGTGCGATTTAAGAGTAGCAGTCGTTAGTGGATTTTTCTCAGCCTCTGCCTGCGTATGGGTCGGCCTGGATCTATAGCAACGGCAGGGCTGCCCCGGCATGTCCAGCTTTTCTGCACTTGTTTTTTCTATGCTGCTTGTCTGTCGGTGAGAGCCGGAGTCACGGGTATGCAGCTGCCCGAATTCATTTGGGTGACCGCAGTACAGCACGATTTCGGAGCCATGAAGATGGTATCCGTACGACGAACTGACAGCCATTGGCTGGCAGCACGATACTTAAGAAGCAAGCGTCGTGACTGCCGCAGGCAACATTCCGAGTTATACAGTACAGTATCGCTTACCCTGCCCAGACACGAGGCAGAAAAGGCTTGCGATGTTCGCCTGCTGTGTCGCTGCGTCAATGCATTAATGAACTGGCCCGGGCAAGAGCTCTGACTGCCCGAGGTTGTCTCATGCAACTCTTGGGGCGTGCAGTGCTTGAGCACAGGCCAGCATACATGCAGACTGCTTGTTGGCTTCCCCAAACTGGCTGCAGACCAGTTCAGTGGTAGGCAACTACATAGCTGCCCTCGAGCTTTTCAAGAAGGCCGAGGCAGAGAATCTTTTTTCGGACAAAGCGCAGCATTACATTTGGCAGCTTACAGGCCATGACAGAAGCTGACAATGTGCCCAACTTCAAGCGTCGAGTCGTCCTTCGTGCCGTGACCTTCAACAACCTTTGTTGCTCCCAGTCAGAATATGCGTTGAGTTTTTCTCCGACAAACATAACATAATTGTTCGACGTGTCTGCAGTCATCTGCCGGTACTCCGAAGGTTATTACCGCACACGAGGGAAGTTGAATGCCGCCCTCCAGCCGCCCGTTGCAAGTTTTGAAGTGTGCATTCACCTTTTGCAGCAAGTTCTGAAGAACCTACACCTGCTTGAGCTAGCCTGTCCCTGTGAGCAGAGTTGGCATGCCAAGGTTTGCGGAGAAGGCATTGAAAATTGAAGAGAAGTACAAAGAAGCCGACAGCCCGGCAATGGGCCTAGGAAAACGGCCTTTGCCAAAGCCAATGATGCTTTTGATATGCTCTGATGCGCAAAGCCACTGCAAAGGCCCGCAGCTACCTGAACTATGGAGTTCTTCTTAGCAACAGTGGCCCTGCCCTCATTGCGCAAAGCACTGTTGTGCGTTGTCCTTTGTTTCTTCTGTTTTCGGCTATGTTCTCTCTTTGTTAGCTCCTTGCTGCCTCCGAGGCCGACATGGCGAAGCTCTGGAGCGTGTGGAGAGAGCTTCTTGGAAGCATGGGTCCTCGCAGTGATTGGGGTTGCACATCAAGCTTTTCGTTTTTGTGCGGACTTGTGAGCATGGAGGAGTCGGAGGTACCTCCTAATTCTGATATGATGCCGTTGAGTCACAGTGACATGGCAAGAGAATGCAAGAGAGATGTCACACAGTCGCAGAGGCTGTCGCAGTTCTCCTTGATCAGCACCGGCATGAGAAAGCTGAGGCAGAGTTGCAAGCCAGAGTCGATGTATGCCATGTATGCATCCCCGCCAAGTAAAGCATTGGTTCCATGGATCCCAGAGGCGACTCAGAAGCCGGAGCCAACAGAGATTTCTCAATTGCTAGTCGTGCGGCCCTCGGATGTCCATGGCCCACCAAAGAAACACAGAGCCACCTGCAAGACCTGTGCAGGTTGCTCACTACAACATGTTTGTGGAGCATCTGCATCTGAAGCAATTTGCGAGCAGTCTGGGACTCGAGCATGGCACACTCAGAGCTCGCATATTCGAGTTTCTAACCTTCCTACACTGAGACTGAGGCCTTCAATGTCTGCAGCGTGCTGTCTCCGTCGCCCAGAACAAACTGGGAACGTCTTGTCCCAAAATCGTCTTTCGAATGGCGGGGATCATGGCCCACGGCAATCTGCCAAAGACAACCTGTGCTACTCGGGCGCAGCGCTCACCGACCTCTCGCGCCTCCCGCTTCAGGTCTCACACGCTGACGACAAAGATGCAGGAAGTGCACGTCGAGGCTCAAGCAAGGCTTGAGCGCAAGGCCAGGCACCTGGAAGTCACTTAAAAACTACCATGGTTCCTGGAAAGAGGCTGTCAGTGCTGTACTGCTACAGTTAGAGGAAGTTGTCATGGCAGTGTCTTAGTTGGGCCGCGCAGGGGAGCCCTTGACCAGGCTTCGGCGGAATGCTTTCGCACGACCGCCGCAGCCGTGGAGTCGTCCCCTGTGTTCTTTCACTACCAGGACCTACCAGACCGGTGAGCGTTTCTTGCAGATCCCCCCGAGTGCCTACCAGGACGGACATTGTCATCCCTGGCAAAAGGTTCACCTCGCGCAAGCTGACGCTGCGCGGGCGCCGTCCTCGGACGGACGCCACGTCGTTGTTCCTGCAGAAAACAGCCGCTGCCAACAGCTACCGACAGCTACCGACGGCTACCGACGGCTGCCATCGCCTGTTTTTCTTATTCTGAGTTCGTCCAAGGCGCAGGAGATCTTGGCGGATCAGAAACAGATCACGCTTCGCCGCCTTAGGCAAGTCTGCTCCGATGAGCTTTCAGCTGGGAGTCGCTCGGTGCGTGGAGGCCCCCGGATCCAAGGCCTCCAGAGAAGCCGCGGATTAGGAGCCGCAGGCCAGATCAGAGTGAGGGATTCAGAGTCTTAAGGCTTTATACGAGTGTGAGTGTATAGCAACGAGCTTGGAGAACCGGATGGAAGCACCCTCGTAAAAGACCGAAGCAGAGCCCTCCAAGGAGCAGGCTGCCGGCCATTGGGGCAGAGGTCACGGGCCGCCGCTTGCAGGAATGAAGATCTAAGATCCCAATGGTTTTTTTTTGCAAGCACGCCCGAGACCCCAGCATCAATCCAAGGCTTCTGGGAGTCTCATCCAAAGCTGTTGGACACGGAGGGATACGCTGGCTCGCCCATTCTGACACAGCAGGCCAGTCTGATTGTCTTTGTGCTTGTGATGATGGGAGAGGCTTGTGCTTTTGAGGCGCATGGCGCGCAGCCGATGGTCGAAGTCCTCGCTCTGAAGCAGCTAGCTGGAACCAGTCCACGCGGCGGACGAGGCGGATGTGCAGAGCCGGGCTTGGGCGTCACGCGGTGGCTTGGCTTACTGGCCCTGGCGAGGTGGTGCCGAGAGAGAAGTGCCGGAGCCCGTGGTCGAACCGCGCTGCTACTGGTAGCCAGAAGCTGCGAATCATTGAGGTCGCCTGCAGATGATGTGCGGGACTTGCCGTTGCTTTCTGGGCGCCTCGTTGTCGCAGTCGCATCGCCAGGCCAAGGCCGCCACACAGCCAATGCCTTTATTTAAGCGGGGCTTTTTGCAAGTGCATGCTGTGCCATGTTTTGCAGGAGGCCGAGATGCTTCGCTTTGCTTCTCTTCGCTCAGGCCACTTCTGGGCCCGGGACGGCCTCAGATCGTTCCTGCTCCGTTGCATCCTCATCACGGCTCTGTTTCTGCACCGAAAGAGCAATGTTCCGTGACCTCGAGGCCGGGAGCCCCGTTGGGACCCTAGCTGCCCAGAGTTGTTCTGGAGTGCCGGTTTGCGGCTCTGCCACTTGCACATCTTGCATCGTCGTCTAATCACAGACGGCAACAAGCATTGCTCCTTTGGCAGAAGCTCCTGCTTTGTGAAGGGCATCATCCGAGGCCGGAGGTGGTTGCTTCGTGGGAGTATCATCATCGCAGGCCTGGAGCATGCGATGGTGCTCTTTACTATTGTTGATGATTACTACAGCTGTGAGCTGTTCATTTGTCACGATTTTCACCACTGAAGCAGCCTTGAAGAGTTATTGTGAGCGCAAGAACGTGTTCCAGGGCAGGGCAACAGCACGAAAGCTCAATCTAAATGCAGCTTACAGACCATCCGGCGCTTTGTGAGCAATATGCAAAGACTGGTGTGCACGCAAGAAGCGCGAAAGAGCGTGCAAGGGTGGGCGCGCCGCAGTGGGTATTAAACGGTGACTCATCGCAACAACTTCGATCAGCCGCATTTCGCAGTCTTTCTTGAAAGGCTGCAGATGCTTGACGAGGGCAACGGCCTGACAGCATTGGAGCTCTGATCTGAGTAGAAGCTCCAGGCTGTCGCATCAGAATCCGAGCCCGGCGGCATTCGAATACAGTATGCATTGCTGCATTGGCGAAACTGTGAGGCCTCATCGGATGCGGGCCATAACTGTTCTGCGCGATAGGCACGTCATGCTGCAGCAGTTCTGTGCCACGATCCTTTGGCAGCTGTTTCGTGGAGCTATCGGCAGGCTCGACAAACGCAGGGAGAAGGGCCTGCCTGCACCGACGGACTACAGGAAGCATCAAGCGGCCACTTGCATCCAGGCACCATCTTGCCAATCTCAATGATAATGAGTCAGTGTTCAACAGCAGGTGTGCACCAAAGAAAGTGTAGAGCACGTGCCTAATGCCGGAAAGGGCCACATCCTGTGTCGCAGACAGGCTGGCATTCGTGGCTACTTGGTGCGACAGTGGACTTCGCAGGACAGAGCCGCCCACCATCCGGTTTAGTTCTCTGCTTCTGCCGAATCCTTGCCCCTTCGCAGCTTCAGACGGCTTGTCGGCTCATGGAACCATACTGACTCTCAGGCAGCGTTTGCTTTTGAACAGAGCCCCCATGCTCAGCACGATGTTTTGCTGCTGATGGTTGACTGTACCTTGAATGCGAACAACTGTCATATTGAAACGGCACTGGCATTCGGCTCATCTCCAGAGGTTTTGGAAGCAAAAGGGGCGATCGAACTGGAGCAGATCTTCGGGCAGAGCTTTGGCACTCTTGCTGCTTACTCTACTTCCGTTGGCAGGGGCGGACCTGCGTGCGCTCGCACTACGAGCCACAAAGCAGATTGCGATTCCTTTGTATTCGCGGGTGCACCAGCTGCAGTTCGTGGCACCATTGAACTTCTCGGAGGATCTGGCAGAGATGCAGCCATCTTGCTTGAACAGCTCTTCAGATATCAGGCGATCCTCCTCCCTTGCGTCCCCGAGAAGGACGCACACTCCAGCGAAAGAGACGGACGAGCAAGACCCCTATCCGGATGCGCTTCGGGACAAGGTTCTGATGGCTTTGAAGGCGTTGCACTGTAGCGGTGTCAGATTGCCTTTGCGGATTAGAGTCTTCGAATCACCTGGAAGCAACTTCCGCATGAGGGGGTACTTCTACGTACGTTCGAAAGATGGCAGCATCGAGTATCACCGGGGAGGCTCGGCGCCTTATCGTGCACGGCAGCACATCAGGATGAATCAGGCCATGGAGCAAATTCAGCGATTTCTGCCAGAGTTTGGCTTGTGTCACGGCATTGAAGAGGCTCTCTTTCATGTCTCCTCCAAGGGCGACGTGCTGGTAATGCTTGGATATGATAAGATCCTACCTTCATCCTGGGCATCCAAAGCCAGGGCGCTGCATCGGCGGTGTGGCTTCCACGTTGTTGGCTCCATCATTGGTAGATCCTGGTGGGCCCGGCGACAGGGTAGAATTTCTGTGCTGCGAGACCACCTCCTGGAACAGTTCGATATTCAGGGCACCAGGTTGCTCTACCGCCAGGTCTGTTCCTGCTTCTTTTGCTGTGCACCGGACGCGTGTGTCTTGCGAGTTTGGCCACCGTCCCCCTGTCAGGTCATTGGGTTCTTTTCTCAGCCAAACTATGCTGTTGCACATCGAATGCTTGAATGGGCTGTGAACAGTACTCGCATCCTAAACGCGTCGCATGACCTCATGGAGCTGTACTGTGGGAGTCTTGCTTGCATCGATTGGAAGGCAATGTTGTGAGTCCCTCTTGTCGAACTAGACACTTTGTGCCGTGCATAGATTGCTGTCCGCTGCTGAGGGGTGGCTTCTTCTCTGTAGCCCTAGCGAGGAACTTTCGGAAGTGTATCATTGGAGACAGCAGTCGTGAGCTTGTACAGCTGGCACGACAAAATCTGGAACTGAATGAAATTCGGAACGTTCAAGCATTGTGGATGACCGCCGTCAGCATGTTGGAGTCTTGGAAGTCGAATTCGCTACCTGGTATGGTTTCTCCGAACACGCTGCTCGTCGACCCGACTCGCCACGGCCTGGACAGTGCCGTCACAGAATGCTTGCCAGCTTTCGAGAACATTCTGTACATCAGCTGCAATCCTCGGACGATGGCCCGTGATCTGCGCACCACAACTATGACCCACGATGTGAAGGAATTTGCATGTTTCGATCAGTTTCCACGCACGGACCACATGGAGTGTGCAGCATTACTCACTCGACGAAAAGGGCCGGCACATTGGACTTCTGAGTGGACTGCAAACTCGCCGTGCAAGGAGCTGGCTCGCGAAATGCGTCGGCAACGTTTACTCGAGGCCAGTCTCGCAGTGGCTCGCAAGATGTGTCGAAGTCCTGTGGGCGACGAGGCTTCGGCCGGTGAGAGACGCGACCTCAGTGAAGGACAGCCTGCGAAACCACGAAAGGGTGCCGCAGGCGACAGGAAACATGAAGCAAATGAACAAGGTTCCCCGACCAGTGACGCCAAGAAGAGGATGGCTTTTCGAGCCAGCCCCTATGTCTGCTCTGCCATTCGAAGCCCTTACAAGCCTGCTGCCGGAAAGCTGTGGTCGGCTGACTGCAGGTCATCTATGCCGCGCGGCGCGCCTTCGTGGAGCTTTGCCCTCTGCACTTCCTTGACTGTGCTTGGCTTGCAGTGTCGACTATCTGGACGACACGAGTAGCACGTGTCGCTGAGGTACAATGCAGCCGTGAAGATCCAAAAGGTTGCTAGGGGCAGCATTGCAAGAGCCAAGCTGAACAGGCCGCAGATGTGTTTCAACAATTTTTCAACACTCTATAGACATGTTTCGAGATCCAACATGCAGCGCTGTGGTGACACACATGATGGCTTGCAGCCAGGCAAATCAGCAAGATCGCACACGCTTCTGCTGCCAAAGTGCAGGCATGGGGCATGTCACCCTCGCACTTAGGCTTGTAACATACTGCTTCGTTTCGTTGAGGCACTGGTGCGTGGGAGATTGGCGAGAAGCAGCCTGAGGCAGCTCACCATGTGTGGTGGGCACCGTCATGGCAATCCGGCAATCCGGTTGGCAGGAGACAGTCCGATGCGGCAACCCGAATCCAGGTGGGCTGGCCTGTACATGTGTCACCCTGTGCAATCAGGGATTTACTGGGCTGTGATACCTGCTTCGTTGCGGGCTTACGCCCCGCGATTGGGCTGGGGTCTATCAGGGTGGTTGTGGACTGCAGGGTAGGTACTAAGTCCCCAGTCCCCTGCCAGGGCGACAGTACCGCAAACCAAGCATGCAGCACGGGGTGGGAGTAAAACATCTAACATACATGTATTGATGGAGGAGCACATCTACGCTGTCCGTGCGCACTACACACCCGGCCCCAAAATGCATATCCTCGGTTGCATACCCCCGGTCAGCCCTGGGACTTCAGCGAACAAATGGCATATTCACATCAGAGATCGGTTTGCCTGGTACTTGCGGGACAATGTGGCCACACGGTCACAGCTCTGGGCTCCGCGTGATTGGAGATTGACATGTATTCCAGGTTGTAGCAGTGGGCTCCCTGGTTGGCACGTACACCTACTCCCCTGTTTACAAAGCTTTCCTCACTTCCGCCCGGGTCGTAGCATTGGTGCCCCCCGACAGACGCAGAACCAGACTTGCCAGGCATTTAGGCCGCGCGACTATTTGTTGGACTCCCCACGATTGGAGCTTGATATGTTTTGACGTTTGCCAAGCATGAGCACCCCTGTTCGTTTTGATCCAATCTCTGACCTGCATGGGGCCATGACGTCTTCGGAGCCCCATGCCTCACTTGCGTCTCAACCCGTAGGGGCGGAAACAACGTGGGTACCCACTCCCTGGCCAGGGATGATCCATCTCTCTCTCTCTCTCTCTTTGCAGGCCTACGCTAGGATGCGGGCAGCCAAGCACGAGGTGGACTCTATCCGTCTCTCAGCGAGGCTGCGTGCATTCATGCTTACAGTGTCCTTCAGAACTGAAGGAAGGGGGTACGCTTCCCACGAGGCACAACGCAGCCGTCAAGATCCAAAAGGTTGCAAGGGGCAACACTGCGAGAGCCAAGCTGAAGAGGCCGCAGATGTGTGAAGTCCAAACACATGACCATGAAGTCGCCTCAGTCTCACCGCTGGCCTGATGCCAGGCAACTCAGCGAGATGGCACATTCTTCCGCCACCAAAGTGCAGGCATGGGGTAGCTAGGACTGTCGCCTTTGCACTCAGATAGTGCAGCTCGTGTCATCAGCAGGCTTTGGTGCGTGGGAGGTTCGTGAGAAACAGCTTGAGGCAACTTTCCGTGTGTGATGGCCGTGGCTGGGCCGAAGCAGAAACTGTTCAGTGGTATCTGTGCCAGCAGGAGGCAGTCCGATGCCGCAACTCGAGTTCAGGCCTGTTTGGGCTTGTTTGGGCGGGCTTGGTCAAGTCCTTCGTCTCTCGTTGCAGGCTTATGCAAGGATGAGAGTGGCCAGGCACAAGGTGGACTCTATACGTCAGGCGGCAAGGCTGCTTGGTTTGCATTCGTGCTGAACGCGATCGCGAGCCACCTATGATCGGGCGAAGCGATCCGGCAAAGCCATGCTCAACGAGAGCCCAGTGTAAGTTGTAGAAGGACCGAAGACATGAGTTTCAGGTTGGCAAACAAGCTGGTGCGTGGTTTTTTGGCCCGCCGCAGAGTGCGAAAGCTGCGGCAGGCCAGGCCTGGCTTGCGGTCTTTCCGGAATTGAAACCCACCGGTGTGTTGCTCCGCGAGTGATTGAAACTGTCTCCAACAGTCACACAGACAGCAAAGGCCAGGGAAGTCTGCCAGGCGTTAGCATCTGCACTCCAGCGGTGTGGAAAAACATCTCATTAGAAGCGCAGCCTTTACCAAAGCCGCAATCAGGCTCGCTCAGAGGAAGCCGAGCGCCAGGCAGACTTTGCAGTTCATCTGGCAAGACGTTCAAACATGGCTAGAAGCTGTTCGTGCAGGGCGTTGCTTGGAGATGTTTAGACAAGCCGTATATCGCACCTCTCGAGGCGGCCCAGTGCGATGCTGCCCTTTGCTCGGATTCCCTTCGGTGAAATTTTCTGTGGCTTTGGCCTTTGCCTGAAGTCAGACGAGCTTGAAGGTCATGGCTGGCATTCTGGAGGCAGGTCTCAGCTCGAGGTGCTCCCGCTTCTAGCCGCAAGCAGAGCGCAAGGTCGCCCTGCTGTGCGAAGCCCGGCAGGTGCACCAGCCCCGTGGACCTCGAGGGAGCCTCCGATGCTTCACCCGTCGGGGCCCTAAGCCTCCGGCATCGTCAGAATTCTCTGTGAGGCCCCGGAGAACTGAGAATTGTTGGAATTGCCGCATTGCCAGAGGGCACCACAGCATTGAAGACAGTTTCCGGTGACCACAGGCTGCCAGTCCACGCTCCGGGCCACAGGCAGCCGTCTCGATGCTGACTCCTGTGGTCTTCGCATGTTGTTGCAGTTCTGAAGCGGTGTAGACGAGGCACCTGCGGTGCAGCCGCAGCAGTCAAAGCCTGTGCCTGTGATGTCACTGCATCTGTCCTGTGCTTTGAGGCTCTATCTACACAAAGAACCGTTCTGTTTGGCTAGGCAAGTCGAGCTGTTGAACCCATCGGATTGAGGCCCGAAGTGGTGGCATTGCGCGAGTCGCACGACGACGAGAGCTGCAGGCCTTCGGGATGCAAACGTGACCTCCAGGTTTGCACATGTGCCCTGGTAGAACGAGGTTGCAAGCGCATGATGATGACAGTGAGCGGAACGCTGAGCTCTGATCCCAGATTTATATCCCGGCTGCGTTGGTAAGTAGTCTGCGGCTCCGAGCTTCATGCTAGTTTTAAGCTTGAGGCTGTCGAATTCGATCGTTAGGATGCCGCTCTTTGGTCGACTCTGATGCTGCGGCGTTGTTGAGAAATCATTTGAGCAGTACAGGCAACCCCACTTCACAAGCTCGCAACTGGAGGCGATTGGGGCAGTTGCAGAGCCACGGACGCAGCAACTTCTGCAGATATGTGCCCTTGCAGGCGTCGCACGATTCGATGGATGCCAGCAACTTGTTGCAGGCTTGCACTCATGTTACAGTGTTACAGAGCCATTCAGTTTTCTCTAGATCTTGTGCGGACTTCTCGAGGATCTGGCATTGCAGGACCCTGACTCTGCAGAAGATCACTTCGCAAGCTCGCTTCTGGAGGCGATGCAACAGAAGTCAGTGCTCTTCATGCGGCCATGCGAGGGGATGATGCCTTGAGGAGTCCGTCTCGCAGGAGGACTCTATCAAGATTGTCATAGAAAAGGCGGAGACTCGCGAGCTGGACGAGCCGTTCGAAGATCAGGCCCTAGGGAACCAGGATTTAGTTTGGGGTTGTAGGAACCAGGAGTCGGATCCGGGTCGCGGCTGTTTGTCGTGTTCACCGCGTTGTGGCAACGGCACTTTGAATCACATAAGAGAGCCAGCCAAGTTGCATGGCAAGGACGAGGCGTCGGCAGCACTCGTGCAGTCATTGGTGGGAGATGCTCTTGGGGACTCCATGGCATCTCGATTGATGACTCCACAACCCGAGGCAAGAGCTCCATGCATCCCTCCCTGGTCTTCTCGCCTTCTTTGGCCCCTGAGGAGTCTGAGGGCTTGGAGGCGTCCCCTAAGTCTGCCTCAGCCTTCAACGCATCTCGGGACCGGGCTGAAGTTTGGAAAGGCTGTTGTGTTTCGGGTTTCGTCCATCGTGTTTTGCGAGGACACTGCTTGGACCGCCGATGACCTGGTTGCGAATGTGATCGAGGATGTCGTAGAGCTCGATGGCCCGTGCCAAAGACAGCCGCTAGCTGTGCGATGCAAGGCTAGGACGGCTAGGATGAACACCCTCTGCAAGGAAAGCCAGATTCCACGCAAGATGCTGGCAGCTTCCCAACCTCGATGGAGGACGGTGCGTCGTCGCGGGTGAAAGAGCAAGCGTAAAGTCGAGGAATGATTTCGGCTTTCACCTCTGTCTATCTGTGTGCGATGGGGAGAACTGGACCCTGCTGCCGAAACATCTAAATCACTCGCCTTCCTTGCCTGGTCTGTCAGCAGAGGATCGTGGCTTGTGCGCCTCGCCGCGCACAACGAAATTTGAGCCAAACGCAGTGCAAAGACCTGACACGTGCCACCTACTTGGCGTTAAATGGTGGACGCAGCATTAAAGGATGGCTTCCGCAAAACTGGGGCTCTCGATTCCACAACCAAACTCAGCAGAAATCATGAATGTACAGCAAATGTATGCTTTATGCTGTATGCCCGAGACCACGACGCACCCAGTGCGCAAACCAGCAGTACCGCATACTCTCGTGTGCGAGGATGTCAACGCGATGGACCCGCTGCTTGTGGAGAAGCTTCAACAAGCACTCCTTCAGGCACCCTTGGATGATGTTTTTGTGGTTCTTGTGCAGGATGAGTTGCGGCGGTGCTTGCAGTGAGCCTAGCCGCGACTAGCCAATGTTGCGTTCGTCTGAGGCAGAAGAAGATCCGTGCGATCAATCTGACCCTCCCGGACACCCAGATGAGTGACTTGTCTAGAGTCTACAGAAGAAGGGTTGAGCTTTAATCCTGCCGAACACTGGGCCGTGACTCAGGATACCGGCCGATCATTCATTGCCAGCATGGTTCTCAGATGCTTTACTTCGCCAGCATGTGCAGCCGCTGCTGTTGGCTGTGGCTCTCCACAGTTGAACCGGTCATCGAAGCAACTGCAGGAGGCCGAATGCGATGCTGCCCCATGCTTGGATTTAACCGTCCCATAGACACTTTGCTCGCGGCCAATCGCGATTGCCGCAGCTGACCGCGCATAACTGCTTTAGCTGTGGCTTAGCAACGAAGGTCCTCGCTGGCATTCTGGAGGCCGGTCTCGGCTCCGGCTCCAGGCGATCCCGGTTCCAGGGCCCCGGGCCCCCCTGGCAGTTTCGCAAAGTGTGGGGGAAGTTGCGCCAGATGCAGGAGCCCTGTGGACCTCGAGGGCTCCAATGCCTCACGTGCTGAGGCCTGGTCAGGGCTGGGAGAACCGCACAATCCGCAAGAGCTCATGCGAGAAGCTTGGCCGATCGTGCTTGAAGCATTCCGAGGCGTGTTCACAGGAAGCTGAGCACGAGGCAAGCCCGGACTGACGAAAACTTGGTGCGCATGAAACTGTTCCTCAGTCGGGCGCACGACGAGCTGCGCAAACGTGCCTGAGCAGTGCGAACGTGTGTTTCGAGGCGGTGCAATGCGATGCTGCCCTCTTCTTGGACTCTCTTCATTGAACTTTCCCTGCCTTCGTCTGCAGTTTGCTTAAGACGAGCTTGAAGGTCATGGCTGGCATTCTGGAGGCAGGTCTCAGCTCGAGGTGCTCCGGCTTCTACTGGTAGTTGTCGAACACATCGTCGCCCTGCTTAGCGAAGCCCGGCAGGTGCAGCAGCCCTGTGGACCTCGAGGGAGCCTCCGATGCTTCACAGGTGCACTGGTGCTGAGTATGCCCAGCATGGGGTTGGGAAGCTCGGATTGGGCGGACATCTGAGCTCTCGTGGTGTGCTTGCAACATCTTGCAACTTCCTCCAGCATCGAGCACTGCAGCTTGATACCTGCATCTGGACACTTGAGGCAGGCGTAAGGAGCTTCGGCTTGTCGTATCAACGCACTTGTGTGCCCGCTCGTCACGTACTGGGAGGATTGGATGTAGTGCCAGCAGCAACCACAGAAAGTTCGGAAGCCTATCTTCCATGTTGGTGGATGTCAGTTAGTGAGCAAAACAAATTCACCCCGTGTGATTGGATGCTTTCTGGGCTCAGGATGTGTATCCCGGATCCCTTTGCTCTAAGCTGTTGTCAGGAAGATATGGATGTGGCTCTGGTGGAGCATCTTCACCAGGCAACTTCTCAGTTCCGAAGTGGAGGTGAACCGCATGTTCGCAAAATGGCTGTTCGGACTCTCTCGGCAGCTCTGGGGCTTCATCAGATGTTTGCATGATCCGATTTGGGCTGAGATGTTACTGTTCTGCGAGGCAAACGACAGCGGTGAATTGCTGCCCAGCCTTTTGGATGAGCAACTCGCTGGCAAGATGAATTGACGACATCCCTCGAGTTGAAGTGGATGAGCGACGCTACAGCCCAATGTCGTGCTCTAAGGACGCAGGCCAGTCACGCAAGGCTCCGAGCTGTTCTCCTGAGGATTTGAGGTTGTTGCATTTCATGTGTGCACGACGTGACATCACGCATGCATGTCATGGGCCGAATGAATGGAGTGCCCCGAAACTTCTGAGAACTGTGACCCGAGGGAATATCATCGCCATAGGAGGATCATGACCGTGGCCCGAAAAACAACAATCGTGGTGCAAGAGTTCATGCGGAAAGCTTAGCCCATCGTGCTTGAAACGCTCCGAGGCTTGCTCACAGGAAGCTGAGCACGAGGCAAGTTCGGACTGACGTAAATTTGGCGCGATGTGATGCTGCTCTTCAGTTGGGTGCATGACAAGCTGCGGGGTCGAGCCTGAGCAGTGCCAATCGTGTTTCGCGAGGACACTGCTTGGACCGCCGAT